ATCACCTAAACTAAAGAATTTGTGACATCATTTATTTGGTCTCTGAACCTTTTATGTATCGACAAGCTCTCTTACCTAATACAAAAATTAGGTAGGGTTTATATTATCTAGGTTTCTAATTCTCCATAGAGGCAAACCCCTATAGTTAATTACATCTTAAATAACCGGAGTCACTTAAAAAAACTCTCAATTAAGATTAGGAGTTTCGTCTTCAAGAAACCAAAGTTGAGTTTTCACGGTTACTTATAGAAAAGTTAAAGGGAAAGTCAAAATAAGAACAGTTATTTTAAGAAATCCAAAGAAGTGAAAAGTAGGGGATATCACAGATCCAGGGAGAACCCCGGTGACCTTCCAATTATCTTATTGTTTGGTTTTATGTCTTTGAAATGATGTTATTTAATGTTTAATCCTGCAATTTGTTTTAAAATTTAGGACTTATATTCACACGATATCTGATCGTGCAAATAGCCTAAAAAGACAGGAGGATTTATACCGTACCGTATGGTAACCTCAGAAGAATCCTAAAGCGTTATCAGAATCCTAAAGCGTTAGGACTTATAATTGCACAACCAGAGTAGTGCAAAGGCTTAAAGGTGATATATGAGGGTTTATGTTGCGCTAGGCAAACCCCCTCAAACTCTTATGGGTTGTTATTTAAACTAAGGAAAGTGATCGGTGTTATTGATGTGTTTTGATGTTGCAGATTCATCTTGAAGTTTTTCCTAGTCGTGCTGCCCATGGTGTTCGCTCCAAGCTCTTCGTCGTAGCACCTCCGGGCTTAATGTTAATCCCATATAACCACAGGTTTTCTTATACTAAGGTATAGTGTGTATCAAAGCAATAAAGCATGCAGTATACATATATATAAAAAAAGACGGTAGAATGTACAGTAAAAGGAAAAGAACATTATCACATGTTGGAGAACAATATAACGTGCTAGGAGAAAAATATACATGTTAGGAGAATAGTAAAACATGCTATGAAATAAAATGCTATAATGTAGATCAAACTTGTATATTTGGGAGGTCTGCTGCTCCTTTAAGTTAGCTAGTATTCACTGTTTAAACAAAAGAAACATTGCCTGGAAAAACTCGAGAAAATCGACAAATAATCCATGACAGAAAAACTCGGGAAAATCGGCGAGTAATAATTCAAATAAAATTATCAAAACCTTGAGAGAAATCCCGAAAAAAAGACCACGAGTGGTTTGTCCAAAAATTCCAATAAAACATATGAAAAAATCCGAAAATAGGGGACCGCAAGCACTCGGGTCGGGGCTAGACTCAAATATAATACATTTGTACTTGATGAACGTCGAAGGCTACTCGGTCACCCGGATGTATAAAGCTCGTCACTCCACTAGAAGGATATCCTATTAAACCTAACCTAGGAGGGTACTCCTTAGCCCAGAACCGATAATCAACAGGTGGACAACCAAGTTGTAATGGATATTTGAAACTTATATTTTTTTTAGCATGCATATAGATTTCAGGCATACAAAAAGAAATTTGTATTAATTTTTATAATGAAAATATTTTATAAATATTGTACATGTTCTTATCATATCTATTCTTATCAGTTTTGGAAAGTACAGTTGTCCACGAGTCGATCACATCAAAATAAGAACAGTTATTTTAAGAAATCCAAAGAAGTGAAAAGTAGGGGATATCACAGATCCAGGGAGAACCCCGGTGACCTTCCAATTATCTTATTGTTTGGTTTTATGTCTTTGAAATGATGTTATTTAATGTTTAATCCTGCAATTTATTTTAAAATTTAGGACTTATATTCACACGATATCTGATCGTGCAAATAGCCTAAAAAGACAGGAGGATTTATACCGTACCGTATGGTAACCTCAGAATCCTAAAGCGTTAAGACTTATAATTGCACAACCAGAGTAGTGCAAAAACTTAAAGATGATATATGAGGGTTTATGTTGTATTAATTTTTATAATGAAAATATTTTATAAATATTGTACATGTTCTTATCATATCTATTCTTATCAGTTTGGAAAAGTACAGTTGTCCACGAGTCGATCACACTGTTGAACGTAGGACCACCAACATCCTAAGAAGGTAGGGGTCCCCCTCTAGTCTTATATTGGTGAACAATACTTTCATCCTACAGTTCATCAGGTCCCAGAATTGAGTCCTGGTGTTGTAGAGAGATATCATTATGCTCTACCACCGGTGTGCCTTTGTCAACATCGCCCTACACCCCAAAACAAAACTGACCTATTTGCGACCCTGCTTGATGGTTTCACATATAGCAAAAAGTTATACATGAGCACTTATGTATCAGACATAAGCACAGAAAATCGAACCAAGAAGCAAGGAAAAAAAGAATAAAATGGGGATGAGAGAGAGGAGGAATTGATTTACCCAAAAGATCGAAAGAGTAAAGGGTAAAGCAATCCTCAAAACTATATAAAAAATGAGAGCTCAAGATCCTTGAATCAATCCAAGAAGGATATCACTTTCTCAAATTTTATAATTAGATCAAGCCATGAAGGGCATCCTTTTCAAGTCTTTGTTTCAAATAGATTGAAACGGGCTCAAGACTAACATAACACTGTAATCATAGCTCCATCACTCATATGAATTCACACGTCCAAGTTTGAACCTAAATATGATATTTATGTTTTCCAAGCTTTCATGTTGTCTATCCAAACACTTTCATCAGCTTTCAAATCATTTCATAAATCAAATTCATATCAACTTCATAATTCTCCAAAACAAGAGAAAAAAATCATTAAAAGCTTTTCATATGTCATAAAAAATAAGAGGAATTAATAGGTAAGAGGAATTAATCAGAGGAATTAATAGGTAGAGGGGGAACCACCACATGAAGAGGTCACCAGTTAAGATTCACGGGTAAAGGGCAGCAAGAGGAAAGCCCACACAGCATAGGCCCACAGGTAGGGGCAACAAAAGAGAACAGCCAACACAGCATAGGTCCACGGGTAGGGGCAACAAAAGAGAACATAGTCCCACGGGTAGGGGCAACAAAAGAGAAAAACCACCACAGCATAGGAGAAAGCCAGAAACAACCATACAAAATAAAAGAATCCCACGTGAATGCTCTCAGGTAAGGCCAGCAGCTCACACAATCAATGAACCGGCTTTTGCATCAAAGGGGCAAGCAGAATATTAAGACTCACGGCTAGGAATAGTGAAAGAAAACCACCATGGATATTGCCCTTATATTGCTTTTGATATAAATAAGAGAGTGATGGACAAGATATCATAAATCATTAGGACCGAACCCACTTTCATCAAGTAAAACATAATAACGAATTGATCAGCTTGTTTCAAATATTCCTCTATGGAAATATATGTTGAAATCATGAATTTTGGGATGACAAACTTGATTACCCATAAAAAAAAACTTAGGAAGAAGAGGAGCATAGGAAGAAGAGGAGCATTAAAGAAAAGAGGAGGTCCCCAACCAAACCATGCCCAACAAATGGGTCAAACCGAGCCCAAGGAATGGACTAAACAGTAAGAGATTTCAGCCAACATATAACTCCAAAAGAAGCCCAAACATATCCCTTCAAATGGGCCAAGACAGAGAGTATTTTCATCCATGGTTTAATTCCAAAAGAGCTCAAATCAAACCCAACAAGTGGGTCAAAACAAAAAGAATATTTCCAGCATAAATTTGATTCCAAAAGAGTCCAAACTGAACCCACAAAGCGGGCCAAAGATAATGTTAAAATTTCAGTTAAATCCAGCCTAATAAAAGCTAAAACCGAGCCTTCCACATGGGGAAAACCGAGGAAAATTTCAGCCTGAATCCATCTCAAAAGAGTCGAAGCCGAACCCAACAAATGGGTCAAAACAAAACAAAAATTTTCAGCATAGGTTCAGTCCCAAAAGAGCCAAACCAAACCCACCAAATGGGATAAATGAAATGCAATTTTTAGCTAACATGAAGCCAAGACCGAGCCCTCCAAATGGGCTAACACAGAGAAAAAAAAATTTAGCTAACATTTAATCCAGCCTAACCAAAACCGAAACCAAAGGCGGGGGGGCAAAACAGAAAAATTTTCTAGCATATGTTTCAAATAGTGATAGAAAGCATGAGCCAATATTCATTTTGAACATGAGTAATAAAGGGGTTTGATAATCCATTCTAACATGCATTTCTAGAGGGGCGAATTTCATTTCAAAACCACCATTATGATATTTCCAAATATCTTAAGCAAGAAGAACAAAGACAACCCATACATGCCATATTGTGATGTTTATAAAAATTATTTCATACTTAAATCTTAAAACATACCCAAATTTTGCTTCCACATGAGATAAGAAATATTTTTATGTCATCCGAAATAGTGTAAAAATAGAGGAGAGGAGGAGAATACCTCTTTTCAGCAAATTTAAAGCAAAGCACTGTAAAACACATTCAAGAAAATACTCCCACAGAAATCCTTCCTAAAAGCCTCACGCAAACAGCCACCCACGATTCCTCAGCTCCAAGCACACGAAAATTTAACTTAGAGAGTATTTCGGCAAGGCCTCTCTTCCTAAGAGCTTCAGAAAACAGCAACCACGACTGCTCCACACTGCAAGCGCGCGAGAATCAAACTTAGAAAAGATTTCAGCAGAGTTTTCTTCCCTAAAGACTTCTCACAGTAGAAAAACCGCAGCCTCTCTCTCTCAAAAATTTCTCAACAACCCAAAACCAGACCCTAAGAAGATATTTTATAGGCAAAGAAGAGGGGAAAGAACCACCAACCAGTCTCACGGGTAAGCGAATCACATGACGAGACAGTAATTGCCACAGTAAAGAGGGAGACGATGGAACCTTGAGAAGGAGAAGGGTCAGCCAGCTCGGCACCTCGCAATTGGAGAACCGAAGAGTTAAGAGGCCACGCGAAGAAGGGGAAGAGTCGAGAGAGAAGGAAGAGATTGCCGCGTGGATCGTCCACGGGAGCTAGGCCACGCGAGGGAGACGAGCCGAGCACCTGACTAAGCCACGGGGTCGAACGAAGGATTCAGTGTGCGGGAATAGGGTTTAGGGTTTAAGATAAAAAAAATTTAAACAAATAATGATATGATTATAAAAGTACTTAATATTTCAAAAATAAATTTTGATTTATGCATTTTCATTCGTGTGTCAGATTGTAGAAAATTGAATGTTTTTTTAGGTAATTTTGACGTTTCGGACACGCTGGCGCGGTCCGTTTCATCGTCGGAGGTCGTTTTGACGAATTCATCGATTTGCGTGTAATGTTGCTCGTGTCGGAAATATGGCAATATGGGTGTCTGGGTGTCTTTTTCTACCAAGATTGGTGCCCTAGACGCGTTGGCACAGTCCGTTTTGTCGTCGGAGGTCATCCGAAAAGTTCGTATTCTCACCCATTTTTTTAGGCTCAATTTAAGTCTGATCTTATGCAATTTAGTGAATTTTGTGCATTTTGTGTGTGTATGTGACGACAAAGTCCTGAAGAGGTTTTTCTAGGGCTCGAAATCCTATTAGGAACTTCTCCCTGAGTCTCCACATGATAGTCCTTTACCACTCGACCATAGGACAATAATTTTGAGATCATCAATGTGAGACATCACAAGAGAAATAGGAGGTGATTAGAATTTCTAAAAAAATGTGGGTCCCAATTCTATTTTTCTAAGATGGTCAATAGGAATCCCTAGAGCTAGATCTAAGATCCTAAGAAAAGGTAATGACCTAAAAAATGAGGTCAACACTGCATTAGCCCCTTATCATCAATAAATTTTTGCTCACATTGTGGTTGAAAGTGACTAAGTGCTTCTATTAGAGAAATGGAAGAGAATAAGTTGAGCGAGAGAGAGAGAGAGAGTACAGGGCGTGGGAAACTCGGATGATGGCTTTGGATGAGAAGGTTTTTTAGGAAATTCGCTCTGCATCCACAAACAGGCGAGCCACGCAAATGTAAACAAAAACCTTCTCACCCAACGCCATCACCCGAGTCTCTCCCCCCCCCCCCCCCCCCCCCCCCCCCCCCCTCTCTCTCTCTCTCTCTCTCTCTCTACTTCTTCTCTCCCATATCCCCAACAAAAGCTCTTGGTCACTTTCAACCACAATGTGAGCAAAAAGTTATTCATTGTAAGGGCCAATTCGGTTGCACCAAAAAAGACTTTTGTTGTACCAGAGAATATACATAAGGAATTTTGATATTAAATCTAATAAGCATCTTATTTTGCTGTTTTGGTCTTATTTCTCTCATAATATTTAAGGGGTTGCATGGATAGAAAATTAGGTTGACCTACATAATTTTTTCGCGTCTTTAGCATTAAAAGTTCTTGCTATAGTCTTTGGTTATTTTTCCAACAAGTGCAGTAATAAAAGTTCACATAATTTATAGCAATCACTTTTACCCAGTGGCATGAAAATTTACAGGCAATGCACCAAATCATCCGCAGAACAATTGAACTTCGCAGTGGAATTAAAAAGATCAGGAAGCAATAAATCCAAATAAAGTTCTCAAATATTATGAGGCAATGATTTAGAGGTATGACAAATCATAAATAATTAGTACTTCTTCAGAAAATAGAACGACAAAAAAAATAAATAATTAATTAATGATAGCATACCATTCACCACCATTTCCATAGGTATGAAACCGCCAGCTGCATTAAGAATTCTCTTGTCCGCCGTTGATCCCATATCAGTTTCCACAAACTGCACACAAAAGCCTATTATTGATGTACCATTATTTCTAAACAATCCCAAGCGGGCTAGCATAAGCTATAGTAACACTTCTGCAAAGTCCAAGTACGACATCCCTTACTAATCACAATGTAAAATTAAACAGTTCATTGTAGTTAAAAATACTGATAATTACAATATACACCCTGAAACCAACCATTTACAATATTTTCTCAACAGCTTCAAATTTCAACGAGAGGCATCTTAACATGATAGGGAGTAACACTGAAAAGCTCAAGTATGGCTACTCTGGAATCAGATTGTTTACAATCACTTGCATGATATGAGTTAACCATCTTGATATTTAAAACAAAAGAATAGCGACATCATATTTTATTTAATTTTGTCAGCATAGCAAATATTATCGTTTAGAAAGATACTCCCACTCCCACCGGGAAGAAATCTATCCTATTAATATGATAAAAAGAATTTATTAGTTAAAAGTCGGTGTACAAGATGGAGACAAAATGTGAGATGAGAATGCTCAGGTGGATGATTGGTTTTGCACTAAAACAAAATATGAAATGACGATATCAGTGAGAGGGTTGGAGTAGCTCCACTGACACACGAGATTAGAGAGTCGCCTTAGATGGTTTGGTCACATTAAACATCAACCATCTGATGATCCTATTAGGAGAATAGATATTTTAAATTTGACTTTTGTTCAGAAAGATAGAGATGACCTAAAAGACTTGAGAATGTTGTATAAAAAAATATCTTAATTTACTAGAATCAAATGAAAATATGACAATCAATAAGATAATGAAGAAAAACAATTCATGTGCATGACCTCAATTTGTGAAACAAAGGCTTGTAGTTGTTGTAAAGTCAACGTACCTCCGGACAAAGCACATTCACTCGAATTCCTTCCCGCTTCAATGGAGCAAGTGATCTAGAAAATAAAACCACACCACCTGTAACAAAAATTATACCAAGATGTATGTTTGATCAAAATAAGCTTCTAAATTTGCTAGACTTCAATAATGAAAATCACAATTTATATTATAATGCTTAAATCTACTTCAAATTTAGAATTATCAGAGGTAACCTAAGAAAACCATAATCTACATAGTAATCCTCTTAAGGGTTTAATCGACACGAATCATATGATCGCCTACCAAAAGATGTTACAGATTATCACACCGATTAAAGCAATTTTATAGGGCACGTGTCCTTGCTGCTAGGTATGATGCATTTACAAAAGTTCAGGCGAACATAATCATCCAAGCCCATGGTACAGATGAGTTTTCTTTGGCCAAGTAAAGATGATCAATTATCAATCCAACAGACAAAAGTTGTGTTTTTCTTTCAAATTTTTATAACCTAGGTTTTGATAGGAATTGGAAAGGGTTCCAGCGTTGGAGTGACATTCTAAAATCTAACCATGCTTGTAAGAACCTTATCTGCAATTTTCTATAGTTATTGCATGAAAAATACATATCCCGTTTTAGCCCATCCTTTACTAATTAATTTAAATTCCTAAATAAAGGATAATTTTCTATGATTATTAATTATACAGTTTATTTGTTCCAGAGTTCACATGCAAAATAAAATTTCACATTTATAGAACTTGGCCAATGCACCCTTCGAATGGAGAGATTATCGTAAGAATTATCATGCAAGAAATATTCCTACATTGCACTCTCCTATGACTGATAGAGCACGCACCAGCTGGGCTCTCCTCTGAGAATATCAAGTAGGAAAATTTTTTGCAGGACGCTCTCATCCTTTAACAAAGAACCAAAATATGATTAGAATTTGACATTAGTCACATGATAAGGATTTATAAGATAATTAAAGAACATAAAATTAACACAAATTGCAATTCTAATAAAGAATGAATAACTCAACGAGCAAGACTGCTACCAAGGATGATTGCTCCTTAGTGGCAGTTACCTTCCATCAATTGGGACAATAATTGCTTGATCAACAATTTAGCGATCAAAAGTATCACAGTACTAAACAATTACATGAAAGCAGAGTGTTTTTCTCACAATGAAAAATAAAAAAAAATGGTTAGTTATCACTATAAGGTTTACTAAATTCTGATAACAATGGGACTAATAATATAATTAGAAATGGTTTTAAGCGGGCAAACAAGAATAAGAATTTCAGAAATTGAATTTGAAAATCAAGTGAAATAGTTCTCAACTAAAACGTCTCCCGTATAGATCCCAAGATACATAACCATCAGTATATCTATGAGTTATGTCATACATCTATTTAAGAGCAAAAAATTGATGTAGCAACATAATGTAATTATCAGATTATAAGACGATTAAAACAGCGTCTGGGAAAACAAATGAACCTTTTGCACCAGAGTAGACAGGATCAGGATACGCTGGATAAAGGCCAGCAGCAGAACCAATATTTATAACAACCCCAGGCCTCTTAGCAGTCCGCATACTTAGGATCTGCATAGTTTTCATGCAACAATTAGGCAACTTCCACAAGAAATTTATACAATATAATCATATCAAATAGCATGCGCCTAAGTAGAAAACCAAATAAGCAATTAGCACCCTATGCAAGGGAAACAATCCTATTTAACTTTTAATTTTATGTGATGTTGGTCACAGCACAAAATGATTTTATATAAATAAATGATAAAGCAAAACAATCATACTGTTAACATAGTTTCAAAAACAAATTCATTTAGAATCTCAAACAAAAGCAAAAAAAAAAGGTTCAACAACAAGGTATGAATAATAAAGACATACTCTAAGCAAACCCTTAGCACACCAGTATATTAACAGTACATTAAGTGAGCAATCAATGAGAAGCTTCATCTAAAAATAGTGATAAAATGTTTGTTTACTCAGAAGAAGCATAACCTCTTTATTAAAAAAAAATAAGGAAGTTCACATACACACATTTCTTATGTATTTACATATTTAACACCTAAACTTTAATATTTACATTTATAACATCTTAGTGTATAAACCAATGAATGAAAAGGAGTATTTCACTTTTAAAAAGTAACCAAGAGTGGTATTTTTGATGTGATATTAAAGATTTGAGTGTTAGGCATATAAATATGAAAGTTTAGGTATTGGATATGTAAATAGATAAGAATTGTGTGGTATGTATGTAAATATTATGACTCAAAGGAACACCAAAAAAAAGCATTAAAAATAATCATAATAAGATCACTTTCCTAAGAGAAAAAATAATGCCAGTACTTTCCCTTAAGTTGGAGAACATGTATTAGTTAACTCTAATTTGTTACAAAATTTTAAAAGCTAAAGAGGACACAATTTTTGTTAATATAAATGCAAGCTACTCTAAGTTGGAAACTTTACGAGTAACAATCCTTTTAGTTGGCATAGCATCTCAAATCAAATGATAATCAAATTCAATATATTTTATTCTTTCATTAAATATAAAATTACTGCCAATGTGAATAACCACACAATTTTCAAGTATGATCATAAGTTGTGTAGTCAAAAGAATAACTTCCTTTAGAGGTGTCTTCACCCATACATAAGGGTGTAAACAAGTCAAGTCAAGCTCGAGCTACCCTCGGCTTGAGCTTGAGCTTGATTAATTTTATTGAATTCGAGCTCGAGCTCGAGCTTAAGATTACGAGTTCGAGCTGGCTCGCGGGCCAACTTGTTTAATATAGAAGTAAGAAAATAATATTAATTTAAGCTAGCTTTATAATAAGATAACAAATAGAATGAACAATTAGGAGATAAATAACAAGAAATCACCTAAAATATAATACAAAACATTATTTTTTTTTACATTTTTAATGCCTTAAAGATAAAATATTGAAATTTAATATATTTTAAGTATATTTTATATCAATATTTTTTAAACAAGCAGACTCACAAGATAACGAGTCGAGTCAAGGCTGGCTTGAGCTTGGCTTGTTAGCTCATCAAGCTCAGTTCACGAGTCATTTACTCGAGCCGGCTCAGCTTGACTCACTTACACCCCTACCCATACCATCTCACACATGGAGTGTCATGGCCTGTATTTTGCCTTAGCATTAAACTTAGATACCATAATTTGTTTCTTAATTTTTAATGTGACCAATTTAATTTTGACAAATGCTCATATTAGTATTGCTAAATAAGAAATGAAAAGAGCAACGAGTTCATGTCCTAGATAAGGGAAAACATATACCACGGATATATGTGTTTAACATGGAAATAGAAGTGCCCCACCGTTCCCTCCTTCCACCAGCAAAAATAGTAAGTATTGGACAACAATTTTAATTTTTAAATTCTTTTTAATTGATAATTTCAATTATTCTCCAGATAGTTATGTTTAAAACATCAAGGAAATGAACAAGAAAAGCTTTCTAGTCACTTCTTTTATATATAATACCAGAGCAAGTTTAGAGTAATATTTCCATCATTTATTTTTCCTCTTTCATTCTTCTTCTCCTCATCATGCTTAATTTTTTTAGCCTTCCTTCCAAAGAATCAACCATCATGAATAGTGAAAATCGAGTTAAAGAGAAATTCCAGGATAACATTGGAATTAAAGAAACTACATGAAGAAGCATTAGATCGTAAAGTTTTTCAGGAGAAATTTCAGGATAACATTGGAATTAAAGAAACTACATGAAAAAGCATTAGATCGTAAAGTTTTTCAGGAAAGTAAAAAAAGAAAAGTTCACTATCCTGGAATTAAAGAAACTACATGAAGAAGCATTAGATCGTAAAGTTTTTCAGGAAAGTAAAAAAAGAAAAGTTCACTATCCTGGAATTAAAGAAACTACATGAAGAAGCATTAGATCGTAAAGTTTTTCAGGAAAGTAAAAAAAGAAGAGTTCACTATCTTATTGATCATCCTCCAGATCTAAAAGACCAAAATTTATATTTTTGGGATGAAGAGGATTCCATAATCAAGTCATGGAACGAAACAGCATGGTACTTAAAATCAGTGGTCCATACAAATTCCTAATAACCGTAAAATATATTTGGGAACCTATCAAGCAGACTTGCTCAAAAGTTAATATGGTGCGCTTCTCTATGAGATCACGATAAAAGGTTTAACAACCAAGCAACATCAATGGCATTGAATATTTCAATGTAATGAGGATCAAACATTTATAACTAGATTACTACTAAGATCTCAAGTATAGTGACTATGTCAAAGTTCTCAAATAAATGATAGAAAGAGAAAGGGTGCTTGAAATTCTTACAGGACTTCATATCTTGAGCAGAGAGAACCAACCTCCCTAAAAAAAGTATTATCACTCATACAAACTGACGTGGGAGTGTCTGTGGATCATGGGATCAGCAAATCTTGCAAATCTTGTATTTCCGATCAAGGAAATTCCACGATATCATGGAATCAGCTGCTTTCGACAAATGTCGGCGAGCCAAAACTCAAAATTTCATCCCAATTCAATTTATGCAAGGATTTCTTCCCCTTTCCGATTTTTTTTCCTATTTCTTTAGTTCCAATTAGGTGCATTTTTATTAAAAGACTATATATGTGTATATTGGCTGTTTTAAGAAAATTTTAGCTTTGTCATGTTATTTAGAGATGTTTTCTCTCGATTTTTATCTATCGGGTGATGTATCATTACATTTCTTTAAGGTGATGTGTTTGTAAGACTGTAACCCGATAGAATCGAGGTGGAGATCTCTCTAGGACGTTTAGAGGCCTTCTTCGGTGTCGAACTTGCTCTCTATTGGCGTTTGGCAGCAGAGATCGACTGCTTCAGCAGAATAATTTGTCGTTCTCCACCATTGGTTTGCTGCCCCGCCGCCTTTCAAGTCGGAATTCACCAACCATCACTTCTCCCGCTTTCCTTACCCAACCGACAACCTACATATCATTTTCTTTTGTTTTTTTACACCTTCTAGGAGCCCTTAAAAAGGTATCCTCTCGTATCAAAGCCCAACAAACCCGAGATTTAGAGGAATTTATCTTTCTTTCCCCAAATTTAAAATTCCCAAAAAAATATCATTTTCATATCCAAACCCTTCCTACCGCAATTCCTGCATCAACCCTAAATTTTTCAAAATCCAAAATTCCTACCTCCGCCAAAATTACACCCCAACACCTACCACCAAAATCTAAGCCCCCAACCAACATTGACTTGCAATCCTACACCCACTAAAAACCTGATTGGAAGGAAAGGACGTCATGTCATCAAGGAGAAGTCCTCAAAAAGGTATTCAGGAACTTACTATGGAACATATACAGGAGAAAATCTTCTAATTACAACAGATGCTTATAGCCTTTGAGATGAGACAATCTGATGAGATCACCCATAGCAACAACGGTGACTCGTCAAATCGAAAGAAGGAAGTGCATCCCATCCACCGAGCAGTGTTCATTGACAAAGAATCACTACCTCGACGATTTAGTGTGAAATATAAGAGAAGCTAAGGTCACGAAGTAAAGATGGATTTACCGTATCACAACATTCGCATGGATCTAAATGATTTTATCGAGTGTTTTAAAATAGTAGAGCAAATTTTTTAGAACAAGAGTTAAATAAGCAATCATCATGCTCAGGAAAAATACTTCTTTGTGATGGGAGAACATCTTCGACAACAGGAAGGAAAAAGTAAGTTTATCCCCTGATATAAAATGAAAAGAGAGATGCAAAACAAATAACTTCCATTGCATTACCGACAGAATATTTTCATTAAACTCCATCATCTATGCCAAAGAGATTCTTATGTAGAGTACACAGTTGAATTTGATCAATTCATACTGAAATATGACTTGATGAAACTGGAGGAGCATACAATAGCAAGGTACCTTAGAGAACTGAGTTCGTCTATTAGAAATTTGGTGCAGCTACAGTTGCAGTCGTATTGATCTCTATTTGATGTACAGACTTTAGTTTTGAAGGTGGAGAAACAACGACGCCACCTAGTGACAGCCACACCTAATAGGTAAAGTTCAACTCAATAGTCAGGCAACAAAAGTACACCTAGAGAAGCATCCCAGTGTATGTTGCCCAAGAAAGAACCGGTCCAAAACGAAATACAGGTGTGGCCAGGCAATACTCCCAAATTCATCCAAGCCAAGAAGTGCTTCAAGTTCCACTGAGCAGGGAGTAGTAGATGAAATTGATAGTGAAGTAGGAGAAAATGAAGATGCCAAAGAGTATAAACTTATAGTCGATGAGGGAGAAAGGTTAGTAATTCAAGCTAAGCCTATAAGAGAAACTCTAACTGAATTAACATTGGTTATTCTAGAAGGTAGAGAGTCCAAGGAGATAATACCATAAAAGAAACAGCCCCTATTGATGGAGTTGTTGGATATCCTAACTAATTGTTTACCTTTTTGGGGTCGCCATTGAGAGTGATCCAGCATGCCACATATTTCATTCCAAACTTGGTTCCTCCAGACATACATTTTATCAAATATGCATTGTCGAGTACAAGCAGTGGGAGAAGTATATTACAAATTTAATGGCTCGAGACTTGATTCA